AGTTACACACTTTGAATAACCGATCGTTGTTTGTGAACCGTGAATATCTTGGACACGTGAACACATTATCCAGTGATGTGTTTTAGGATAGCTGAGATAAAAAGACAAATTATAAATACAATCTTTATACGGACATTAGGTTATCAATGTCAGACTTGGACATTAACAAAAGAACACGAGAGAAGACTAACCACCTGTGAAATGAGATGTTCGAGAATGGCTGCGGATAAAACCAGAAGAGATCGAGTGAGAAACGATGTGATTACAAGAACTATTGGAACCATACCCATCGTTAAATATATTGAGAAGCAAAGAATGAAATGGTTTGGTCACCTAATGAGAATGGAACCGACGATGACAGCATCAAAAGCATACAACATGAAAATCGAAACACCAAGAGGCAGGGGAAGACCAAGAAGAATATGGATTGAAGGAGTCACGGACAACTTGAGACTTCATAACATCACGGCATATGAAGCGACTGAGCGCGCCCTGGCTCGGTTGCCGATCATCTGATAGACTGCGACGCCTAGCGGCACAAGCAGATTTTGACAAAAGAAGAAGAAGAAGTGTTTTAGGATGTTTGTTTGGTTCTTGCAACTCCCGCTAGGGATTCCAGTGGTCCATTTGGTAACTAGAAATGGGGGGGGGGGGGAGTGGGAGGAGGGGGGGGGGGAACCAAACGGTCATTACCTCTTTTAGTACCATGGAACTCACATTACGCTCTTCAGTTACTATTTATGTCAAGCATTTTTTGATGTTTCATGTCTCAAACTTCTTTCATGAGAGTAAAGTAATTAACCCTTTTCCTGTGTCCGAATTGGGCATATAATGATAGATCTTTAATTTATAGACAAATCGGTACTCGGTGTGTGAAATGATCAATATCACACCGGCCCCTTTTACTTCCCATGATTTTTCGCATCAACTTAAGGCTAGGTGGCCCTGGGAGCCGAAGTCATTTTTGAAAAAAGCCCTGCTACGTTCAGTTCTTTCATGAGAACCTGTTCAGTCTGCTCTATTATAATTCATTTACTTCTGTCCTAGAGTTAGGGACTGCGTGGTCTCGAGGCTTGGTGTCCGCCTCGAGTGATAGAGGTTACTTGTTCAATCCCTGGTAAGGGCTGTAATTTTTTCACGTGGACTTGGGCTTCTAGTAATTCCACCGGGTCTCTTGGTAGTGCGATCGAACACCCGGGTGCACTGTTGCGCACGTAAAAATTCCTTGGCAGTTGGAAATAAAAAAGAGTAGCCTATAACGCTGCAAGGGCAAAATTTGGAGTTAAAAATCTACCCAAAGTATTTCAGGATCCTCGCCGGTGCTACACAGCATGTGTGCTGTGCTGAGCTTCTTTAAACTCAGACTTAAGTTAGACTGACTGACTTTCTACCCCACCAGGACATCACACAAGCTATAAACACCCGATGACACAAAGTGCCACCATGTGGATGAGGATCGCCGTGGAGAGGTATCAGAAACCGTGTTCAGACAATTGGCCATATTTATGGCCTGCCTATATTGCGGCCTCTGGCAAAAGCCAGGACGAAAGTTTTAGTATCCAGAAGCCATGAGTTGTTAACCCTTAGGCTCGGTATTATGGATATCGCAACCTTTCGGCCTTGATTCCATTGTAAATACCGTAAATCTGGGAGAAAATGTGGCTTTCCTACCTACCCCCGTGATTGAACCCGGACCACAAGGAGTACGTCACCCGGTCTCCGCGAAATCCGGTTTAGCCAATTCCGCTAGAGAGCCGGGCAAAGGACGAAAGTAGATATGGTGTAAAGAACAGGAAGCACTTGAGTTAGAAGAAGAACAAAGCACTTATGTTAACTGCGGGACGCTGATGTATATGTGGCAGGATGCCAACGCCTGTTGTATATTTTTTAGGATGCAGGCGAACGGAAATCTGGCAAGCACGAGGTCAGAAGCTGATAAAAGAGCGTGTTCAGGGTGAGATGGCCTCTTGAGTTTTCCGCCTTCCGACCTCGCCATCCTCGCTGCGGACACCGCTGGTGAGTGGAGAGGGATGGATTGGCTACTTCACGGTTTCAATACTTCTCAATGATTATTTACAGTGCCAGAACTAAATTTTCATCAGTAATTAAATTGTGTGAGTTATACCTAGATAGCATTGTGTATCCTCGCTCGGAGATAGTTTGATTGCAGGTGACTGGAGGCGATTGGCCGATCTGGTGGTAGATTAAAGCTAACACGCATGTTAGTATGTTTTGATTTTTGTCATCAGTGATGTAAAAAGTGTTGTGCCGAAAGGCGTAGTCGCAGACACCAGCAGAAAATTACTGAATGCAGAAAATTATTTCTTCACTACAAGATTCGACTTTCTCACCAGGACGGATTGCTTGTCCCATGGAACGTTCCATGGACTAGATGGGACCGAACCTACAGACTTCCGGGTCATTCATTTTCGTTTAAGGCTGTGCTAATCAATGGTGTCTCAGATCACGTACAGCCTGCAATTGATCGCCCTATAATAAAGAACACAACAGCGGTCACGCTTTCTGATTTAGTATGTGTTTCGGTCCAGCGACCCTCCTCAGCGAATGTAGTTGGCCATGTTAATTCAAATACAACGTTGGAAATAGGGGAGGAGGACTGACGTGGCGGGGAGGTAAGAAAGAAATCGTAAGTGTGGTAAGGGGAGGCGAAATATATAAGTATACACAGAACACATTCCAACGGCCGTAGCTACGATTTAGATGATACTGAATTTGTTTATTTTTATACTCTGTTAGATATCTGAATGAAATAATGTACGCACGGAGTGAAGCCAGAAGCAGCCAGAGTGTCGAGTTCTTAACACTTTGAAAACAAAGTTGGTTCGTTCGTCAGTTCGTACCTCTCTTGCATTGATATTGTTTCAGATGTATTCTTTTCTGTATATTTTAGACGTAGTATTCTGTGTATCTAGAGGTGTTATCTGCTTCGGTACTGACAGAAAGTCTTCTAAGTATCCCATGAGATCAGTAGCAAGCACACATAAAGATTTATACCATACGGTTGACATAATACCGTCTTTGTGTTGGTTTCATGACCCCGCCGTATGGGTGTGTGTGTGTCTGTGTGTGGGGCGGGGGGAAGGGGGTAGAGCCACTGTTCCCTAACAGACGTGTCGTAGAAGTCGACATATTAAGGAAGTTTTCCTCAAATTTGGAGAGCACCTGCCTAAAAGGCGAGGAACCAACTACTTGAATACAAATAAATCACACATGTAAAACGGATGGGCACTCAAAAATCAAGTTATGGAAGAAACAGTGGACAAACAGCCAGAATTTTTAAATCGGAGTTAACAGTTGGGAAACGGCAAGAAGACGAAGAGGATCATGCAACCCTCGATACATCAAATATCTCCTGACAATTCAACTTCATTTTCATTCACAAACTTATTGTCCTGTTGTACCAGACTATGTCACACAGGACCACGTTTCCTCAATCCGTCTATTTCTAATTCCATTACCTGTTTGGCAGCTTTCTTTCCGCCTTTTTATAAAATGTGTTTTAACTTCTCAGTTGTGTGGAATATTATGCATAACAGGACTGTTGTGGTTAAGGCCTTATGGGAGCACGTGTAAAATGCAGAACAACCAATGGATCATATCAGTCTGGTGGAGTGATGCATTGAAGAGTGACGAGGGGATCTGGTCAATACTCGACGCTGAGAGGAAAGGCAAGACGGACATTCATACTAGCACTATTAACTGCGGGACGCTGATGTATATGTGGCAGGATGCCAACGCCTGTTGTATATTTTTTAGGATGCAGGCGAACGGAAATCTGGCAAGCAGGAGGTCAGAAGCTGATAAAAGAGCGTGTTCAGGGTGAGAAGGCCTCTTGAGTTTTCCGCCTTCCGACCTCGCCATCCTCGCTGCGGACACCGCTGGTGAGTGGAGAGGGATGGATTGGCTACTTCACGGTTTCAATACTTCTCAATGATTATTTACAGTGCCAGAACTAAATTTTCATCAGTAATTAAATTGTGTGAGTTATACCTAGATAGCATTGTGTATCCTCGCTCGGAGATAGTTTGATTGCAGGTGACTGGAGGCGATTGGCCGATCTGGTGGTAGATTAAAGCTAACACGCATGTTAGTATGTTTTGATTTTTGTCATCAGTGATGTAATTGTCTGAACGTATGCGTTCAATATCCTATTTCTTTGTTAGTGGAATGAGTAGCACATTGTCAGCTCCAGCATGCTGATGGTTGTTGATGTCATGTTCTCTATAATTTATTTGCTTGATTCAACCAAGACCTTGTAGTTCGTACACATGATTTTCTATGCGCGACTGTGTATTTGTAGTCAGTTGTAGTAGTTATGTAATACAATTATTCACATATCCTTTGCCAGGGCTTTGATCATCCTTCATGTCCCTGCACAGAAGAACCTTTTCCTTTTTTTTCCCTCGGTTTTGCTGTTTATCGGGGAACTACTTATAGTGCTTACCACACTTTTCTTTTTTTTTTATAATCTCGCCTAGTTCTAGTGGTTTTCTTTTTCCTTCCTCCCGCTAGCACATACCTGTTGAAGGGATAACGTGAGCATCTATGGACGTGTCCGGAGTGATGTGAAGATAATCCAACTCATAACTCATAACGCAATCAGACTGCTACTAGCACCACTATTATTTGAGCTCTGTGCTGGCTTCTGAAGATGGGGAAGGAGCGCTTATGGAAATGCTTATGGAGTGCTGTGATGTCAGTTCTTGAGTGAGTTCAACTGAACTCGATTTAACTTCACAGTTTACAGTAAAACGGAATACCCCCAACCAGAAAGGTGAAATACTGTGCCAACGATTTCAATGATTTTTTTCTTTGTAAGACCAAGGTTTGCTTCCCACTTTGATAGAAAATTTCTAGTGTCTACAATACGACCACGTGATGTGTAAGGTAGAGCAGATCTAAAACACATCTGCCGATAGTAGTCTTGGGTATCAGACACAGCTCGTGTGTTAGCTAATTTCTGCATTTGATTTGTCGATATGTTTCTACATTGTTTGAAGATGAAACACACACTGGCTTTGCTGTTAATTCTCGGAACAAACGTTATGACCCAGAATCCTTGTCCATATAATGTTAAGGTAAGGTTATTTGTTTGTCTAAGACAGGTGTCAGCGTCTGTGATTTAGGCGTTGCGAACGCGCTTCGTAATTCCGGGGTGCCGGGTTCGATCCCAGCTGCGGGCCATGCTCCTTGCGTTGGTTTTATAGTGGTATCGAGAAGCCGTCCGTCAAAAAAGCAACGACAAACTATTGGACGTAAACTTGCTTAAAAAACCCACCAACAGCCGACAAATGCTGGGGTTGGTTCTGCAACGTCCTGTAAAGGATACGCAACTAAGAAAAAGAAGACAGTCAAATCGTACCCATGTGGGATGCAATTTTTTGTTATTTGAAGCCCCATCCGGGCTTCCTCCGTTGGCCATGAATATAGCCGGGGCATAGATATGGCCTAGCCATAGATATGGCCTAACGTCTGAAAGGGGTTTCTGGGACCTCTCCATGGGGGATCCTCATCCGCGTGTAGGCACTGTATGTCAACGGGTGTTTATCGCTTGTGTGATGTCCTGGTGGGGTACAACTGCCTACCTAGCTACCTACCTAAGAAATTTATCTCCAATCAGGATGGGAAGGGGGCGTCATCTAAAGGGGCATGAGGAAGTTTCAAGAAAGAGGGGAAAGAGAAAAAAAAAGGGCGGAAAAAGGGGGGGGGGGGGGGGGGGGAGGTTCCTAGCAATTTTGAAATAGAGTCCATGTCATAATCCGTATTTTTAGCGTTAAAAATCATGAAATCAAAACTGCACTGCTAGCTTGATGTTGAGAGTGACCTCCGTTGTGCCTTGACCAGTATCGGACTACAAATGGGGGGGGGGGGGGGGGGGGGGGGGCGTAGTCTCGAGGCATGGTGTCCGCCTCGAGTACTAGAGGTTCCGGGTTCAATCCCCGGTAAGGGCTGGGATTTTTTCATGTGGACTTGGACTTCTAATAATTCCCCCTGGTCTCTGGGTAGTGGGTCGGACTCCCATATGCCTTGTTACGGTCATAAAAAAATCCCTTGACAGTTGGAAATCGAAAAGCGTAGCAGCTGCCGGGGAAAAATGTGCAGTTAAAAATAAATATACTTAAAGTATTTCAAGATCCTCGCCCGTGCTACAGAGCTTGTGCACTGTGTTTAGCCTCTTCGGACTCGGACTTGAGTTAAAAAAAGAATGGAGCACTTATAGGTTACCACGCGTGTGCCATGATGTTGATCCGCTGTTCAAAACCTTAAACCTCAAAGATTAGACCACAAATAGCAAATATCATCAAGACAAAACTGTGTCAACAATCACACTGATAATCAGACACTAAACTTCGAGATGGCCTGGGAGCAAGGATAGGGCGAGATAAAAACATTGACCTGATCCGTGATTGTGGTAATCGTTTGAGATAGCGAAACACGACAGCCTACGCTTACCGGCATGGCACATGATAATGATGATAAGTGTAACAATTTTTTGATCCGTAGGTCTTGGGTTCAAATCCACACGGCGCTAGATGTTTTTTTCAGAAATTTCTGTGGATTCCTGGTCCACTCTGGGTACTGCAGTCAAGCTACTCTTGCAAAAAAGCTACTTCTTGCAATATAGCGCGTTTACCCAGGACCAAACACAGCTGTCAACAATCAACAAGGCAGAACAGCGATCAGTTTCCAATATATATTCTATCAGTTTATTCTGTCTAATTCTTCCACTCAATTCAACCATAGTTCCTTCTTCTTCTTCTTCTTCTTCTTTTCTTCTTCTTCTTCTTCTTCTTCTTCTTCTTCTTCTTCTTCTTCTTCTTCTTCTTCTTCTTCTTCTTTGTGTTCACCAGCTTCAAATTCTAGCGGAAAGTTCTAGTTGTTCATCCACTTCTGGACTGCAGTCCTGTTCTAGAGCCTGAATGTTGCGTGTGCATCAGTTTTACACATTTGTAGACAGACTGCTGGTTCTTTGCCTCTCAGACAGATGCACTGCGTATTCGACGGAAGCTTCCAATGAGTCGACTCTTACGACATGCTTCTGGACAGGCAGTGGGTCTATTCTTGTTTTCCCTAAAATGGGGTCGAGGAACCCACACTTGGAATGGTTCAGCCATCGCTACTCTTTCCCAGAGTAATCCTACAATTATTTATATAAAGCTTAATTTTAATACACTGCAGTTAAAGGTTGTTGCGTATCCTCTACAGGACGTTGCAGAACCAACCCTAACAGCCCCTGGCTGTTGTGTGGTTTCTCTAGGCAAATTTACGTCCAGTAGTTTGCCATTGCTTACTGGACGGTCGGCATTCTTGATACCACTGTCGAAACCAACGCAAGGCGCATTGCAGCTGGGATCGAACCTGGCGTCATGGCATTACGAAGCGAAGTGTTCGCATCGACTTAGCCACAGAGCCGACACACTGCAGTTAGGCTACATAAAAATATCACAGCTGTCTTCTTTAAGCTCTGGTAAACAACGGACCACGAGCCAACCTTGGGCTTCCCCTCGTTTTCCTCTCCGGCCCCAAGTATTTCGTGCCGTCGTTTATTGCACGGGTTTTCTGCTCGACTTGCTGTAAGCGTGAGCCACCATACAAGGCACATCAACACAGGTACCATATAGTTCTGGGAAGTAAAGGCGGCCGGCGTTATGTTGATCACATCGCTAATCTTTCTGTATTGGGCTGCGTGGTCTTAAGACATGGTGTCCGCTTCGAGTGCTAGAGGTTCCGGGTTCAATCCCCGTTAGGGGCTGCGATGTTTTTACGTGGACTTGGACTTCTAGTAATTCTCCCTGTTCTCTGTGTAGTGAGATCGGACGCCCGTGTGCATTGTTGCTCACATAAGAATCCCTTGGCAGTTGGACATCGACAAGAGTAGCCTAACGGCCCTGCCCGTACAAAATTTGGAGTTAAAAATCTACCCAAAGTTTCAGGATCCTCGCCGGTGCTACAGAGCTTGTGCACTGGGATAAGCTTCTTCGGACTCAGACTTGAGTTGGAAGAAGAACGCAGCACTTATGGGTTACTACCCGTGGGCCACGATGTTAATCCGTTGTTGAAACCTCTATCCTCATTGGCCTGTAAGTCTAGCATTGTATGTCCGATAGGCCACTGGCGAGTAAAGGAACATTGTGAATTATCGTTTACAAACCTATCAGTGTAAAACATGACAATAACATAAGGGTATTTTTTTCTCTCTCACGGGAACCGACTAATTATTCTCCGATTTTTCTTACGGGAAATTTTGTTTTGTATGCGTCATGTTTAGAGTACGTCATGTTTAGTAATTTTGTTTAGCATACGTCATGTTTGGTATACGTCCTGTTTAGTATACGTCATCATTAGTAAACATGTTTCACTTACGTCCTGTTTGGTATAAGCCCTGTTTAGTATACGTCATCTTTAGTAAACATATTTGTCATATGTCTTGTTTGGCATACGTCACGTGGTATAAATCCTGTTTAGTATACGTCATGTTTGGACTTATGACCTTTCCACGCCTTTCAGGCGTATTGGGTATACAGGGCTAGACTTATATTTTATAGATCAAACGGCACTTGGTGGGTGATGTAGTCAGCATCACGCCGGCCGTCTTGACTTCCATAGACTCTCAAGGCTGGGTAGACCTGGAAGTCAATGTAATTTTTTGAAAACAAAGTCCGTCTACGCCAGGACACGAACCCACGACCTTCCGATCCGCAGGCGGGCGCCCAGCCGCCAACGCTACGGCGACTCCCTCTTATGATCTAAACAGAAAGGAAATAAAGAAAGATTAATGCATCGGCAGAGTTAAACAGTTCCTGAAACTTAATGCATGTGATGCATTTTCTGCATTATGTACAATAATCATACGTACCTAGATTGCTGTTTTGTGTTTTACGTGCAATTTTTATAACTTAAAAAAAAAAATAGTTTTGAACAAAATAAATTCGAATTACGACCAGTTCGACTGACGACCTTTGCTCTATTACCACTGTATATGTATACCATAACTCTCTGTGGTGCCACGTCTGTTCCCAATCCTGTTAAATGACCAAACCATTTGATCTGTTTCCTACCGATAGAGTTCGGTAACTCTCCTCCTTGTAGCATCGTTCCTAAGTCGATCCTTCCTCATTAATTAACATCTAGCATAAAGCGTAAACATTTCATTTATGTCATGAATATTTTTCGTCTGTCTTCTGAAGACATTCTTCGTTTGATACCGGCAGCACAGCGTTGGTAAGAATAAATTGTGTTGAGTCGTGCACGTTTAGTATTCATATTCACGTGCTTGATGTTAAAATTGGTGCCATTTGTCCAACTTAACTAGCTTTACGGTATCGTTGTTGTAATTTTTTTTTTTAAATTCATTCATCTGTTTTCAAGTACATACATTATATTTCATCTTCCAGACTTGTACATGCGAAAATGTATGGATAACTTGTGACCATTTGGACACCATTCCCCCACTGGTGTACGACAACCCGGATGGTTCCATTATAGGTTTGACATTTCTGGTAGGTACAGTTTCAGTTTTGGTACAGTTAACATGTGTGAGATGTGGTCACAAAGGAAAGAAACCAGCCTAACTAAAAGCTACCAAAAAAGAAATAGTAGTATAGTACATATTACCCAAATAGGACATCACACAAGCGATAAACACCCAATGACACAAAGTGCCACTATGCGGATGAGGATCACCCGTGGAGAGGTCACAGAAACCGCGTTCAGCCATTAGGCTATTTTTATGGCCGGGCTATATTGCAGCCCCTGGCAAGAGCCAGGGCGGGGCTTCAAAATAACGAAAAATTGCATCCCACAAGGGGTGACTCCTTAATGAGAAATAATATTATCAATTATTAATGAGGGAACAACGCCGTGCACAAAATTCAATGAAATGAAATCAAATGGTTTGATTATCTTACTAGAATGCAATCTGAACAAATGCCACAATATGCCCGAAACAAGAGAAAAGGAAAAAAAATTCAGTGACGGCAAGAGGGCGAAAAAGAAGAAGAGGGATTTATTATATTAATGACATTTTAGAAAATCAGGTGTCGTCTCCACAGTGACGGTTGACTGCAATGGATCTCCAACACGCTACGTCTAATTCCTAGATTGTAGACTTTCTCAGACTGTTGTTTGTCCATCTCTTGGTGTTGATCTCCCATTTTCTACCTCATGCTCTCTTGACCTCGACCTTTCCTCCCAGTTTGTATTTGAAAAGAGTGTTAATGTCTGGTAATATGGGCGAAAATATTTCAATTGTCATTTTTCTTTTATTTCTTTCAGTAAATCTCTTGCAAGTCAGTGGATGTTTCGCATGTAAGACCGAATTGTGCTTTTACTTCGTTGATTCTTCTGTATTTTTTTATTTTTCATTGCACACTTTTAATTTATTAAATATTATTTAATTTTGAAACTTCCTTTACAGGAAAGCAACTTGAGAAATGTTCCAGAAAACAGCCTGCCCACAAACCTATCGACCATTCTGTTCATCTCCCTTCCCCTAACCTACATCTCCCCTGATGCCTTCAACAGTTCAGCCAACACTCTGACAAGTCTGCACATGTATAACGCAACCAACGGCCAAGTCCCAACAGCTCTGCTTCAAGTCAAAAATCTAACAGACCTGATCATTTCAGACACTCTAATTACAGAATGGAACTCTACTGTACTGAAACATTTGGCCAAAACTGTACGCTCATTAACGTTAAGTAATGTGGGTTTCACAGATTGGCCTGCATTCTTTGAAAACTTCCGTCTAGTTAGTTCTGTTGATTTTTCTCACAACAATATTAGTAGTATCCCCAGCGATGCTTTTACTAACACATCTAATTTAACTAGTCTTAAGTTGAGACAAAACAAACTCATTGACGTTAACAGCCTGGACGTTGCCTTGCAGCCATTGGCTAACAGACTGGAAACTCTGGAACTTGAACAGAATATACTGCTCTCCATACCACCCAGCGTTGCCAGCATGCCTCGCCTGTCTGAGCTAAACGTCAATGATAACTTTATTAGAGACCTGACCAACACAATCCCCCCACAATTAAAACATCTATACGTTAGCGGCAATGTCATCAAACAGCTCACAGATACAACATTTCCGAATACAACTTCATTAGAGACGCTATTTTTGAGTAGCAATCCCTTATCTGATATTTCTAAACTGGCTTTTCATCCGCTCCGAAATCTTCGACAATTAGAAATGAAATCTATCAGTTTGGAAACAATTCCGGTTGCTCTAACTTCCCTGAAGAATCTGCAGATCCTTGACTTAGGTTTTGGTTTCCACTGCCCGTGCTCACGCAATGAAGAACTAGTTCAGTGGTATTACTCGCTAAAGAATATCAGTATAACCGGATACTGTTATTGGAACATAAAGAAGATCGAATATTATTTTCGCACTGACACATATAAACAGGTATGCATGGGCAGTAAGCTCAACTACAGTATTCACTTGTATTTGGCAATGATTGTTCTTGTCAGCTTTTCTATTCTGTAAACTGTAAAATGGGCAGAGGGCTAAAAACATATAATATTTTTTTGCTTAGACATGCAGACAAGCGACCGTGGCTTAGGCGTTGCGAGTCCGACTCGTAATTCCAATGTACCGCGATTGATACCCACTGCTGGCTGCGTTGATTTTTACCATGATTAGGGGCGTCGCAGGTCGACTCAGCCTAAAGTGGATACCAGGATGTTTCTCCTACAGAAGTAAAGTCAGCCGGCGTAATGCTGACCACCACGTTACCCACCTAGTGCGGATTGGTCTGTAAAAATATGTGTGCTCTTGTCATATGCCTGATGCTCCTCGAGGCGTGACAAGGGATCTTTACTCTTAAAAAAAAAAAAAAATTAAAACATGTTAGAAATGCAGACACCATTATCTTTCAGCAGTGAAATGTATCTACATCTACGATATTTATATACCTTAAGGTAGCAATTTGTTGCATGGAGTTTTTAAAATAACAGCCTCGACAACATTTTGATACAGATCTGTAAAACGGATGTGCACGCAACACTCAGTTTCTGGAACACGTCTTAAGTCCAGAGGTGGATGAAAAACCAGAACTTTCCCCCGAAGTTTACAGCCGGTGAGCGCAAAGAAGATTGTGATACTAAATGAATTCAGACACGAAGACGTGCATACAAGTTACAAATCCAGACACTTTTCTTAACCATGATACATAGCTACTGTAATTCGATCTAAATATGTCGGAATATTTCACATAATGGTGATATTTTTTAACAAGTAGCCTCTACGAAAATATGTGTGTGTTTCCCCGGGAAGTGATTGCTGCATTTACATATTTTAAGCGGCTGTTTCTGTATGTAAATCTAAACACAACAACCCCATTCGTGAAGATCAATACAAGTCATTTTGTTAATGTCTAGACACGTAAAGACATACACGTGACACTTACCAGGTTAGAAAAGGTTTGGGTCTTTCTTGTCAACTTACCGAGATCTTAATATTGTAAAGACAGATTTTCAAGAGCGTCACTAAACAGTCGCATAAATGGGAAACAAATTGACTGAGGACACGAGGATCTAAAAAAAAAAAAAAAAACTTCTGATCAACGTTGATGGGAAACCAAAAGTACTGAGCCGGACTGCAGATACGTAATGTTGGTATTTTCCCCACAGGGATTCTCTGAACAATAATATAGAAGTAAACATGAGATAAGAGAGAAATACATAGGAATGTGAATACTCGTAGAAGCACGAGATATACGAACAGGACTCAGACCAGCACGTGAAAACCAGAACGAGAGGTTTAAGATTAGATAAATGTATAATCAGTTAGTATGTGTTTGGCAGCTGGTATGAAAGCTCGTAGCTGATGGTAGCCGACGAGTTCCAACCGGCCAAGGAATCTAAAAGACATGATCAGAGATGCTGGATCAACTATTGTGAGTATCGCATGTGTAATGAAACAGGACTAAAAGGTAACGAGTGTGAACGGTTGTAGATGTCGATTTTGTACTTGATAAATATCATCATCTCTTGTTGGACCGTGCTAGCCAATAGTAGACATTGACTGGACCGGATTACCTGTGAATGTTTAATAAAGAATATAACCGGATATGGTCTATTCGTTAACAATGTGTGAGTTCAGAATGTCATCTATATATTACACACGAAAACACCCTAGCAACCAGTCAATACACCGAGAAGACAATATCACAAGATATAACAGTGAAACAATGGCAGAGGGGCGAGTGAGTGACTTTCTACCCCACTAGGACATCACACAAGCGATAAACACCCGATGACACAAAGTGCCACCATGTGGATGAGGATCACCGTGGAGAGGTCCCAGAAACCGCGTTCAGACATTTGGCCATTTTTATGGCCTGCCTATATTGCGGCCCCTGGCAAAAGCCAGAGTGGGGCTTCAAATAACAAAAAATTACGTCCTGAAAAGGACGTAAGGACTTGGCAGAGGCGAACGAAAGAATGAACTCAAAGCCATATGTGATGTAAGTAGTATATAGTTTTCGACACATTGTGTACTACTGATGTAAAACGGTACACAAGGATAGTGACGACTAAATTAATTAGCTCTGTGCTGGTGTTTTATTGTACCTGTGCAGTGCTATATGTTGTTGGCAAAAGCATCACAGAGCAGAATACTAACTTACTTTGGCAAAATGAAAGATTGCCGAAGACTGAGACGCTCGTCCATGTGGAGGATGCGGAAAGCAAAGGGGAGACTATCACATTATATATATTCCTACAAACTCTAAACGAGAGCCGACAATTTTTGAACAAAAATGATATGAAAATATTCTTAAAATCATGTGGACTAAGAAGAATAAAAACGTCGACCTACTGAGTATCAAAGAGAACTGGCTCATAAACAGCATCCTGTTCCGAAACTGTGGTATTTTGATCATGTTATGCCATGGGGGTCTGCAGAGAGCAGCAACAGAGGGTACAGAGGCTGACCCTCATGTGTCGATACAGGACACTGAAGATAAATTGGCTTTAAATTGTTTGAAGTCGTTCCCTTGTGGAATGCTATTTTTATTTTTTATTTTGGAGCCCCACCTCGGCTTTGACTGGGGCCCTAAATATAGCCATGCCATAAATATGGCCTAACGGCTGAACGGGGTTTCTGGGACCTCTCCACGGGTGATCCGCATCCACATGGTGTCACTTTGTGTCACCAGGTATTTATCGTTCTGTGTGGTGTCCTGGTGGGGTAAAATAACTTACTTACTTGGCTATAAAAGCACACATGGCTGGAGCACTGGCTAGGGAAAGGAGAGCCTGAGGTGTGACGTTCTGTAACGGACCTGCTGACTGAAGAGGATGATATCATCATGTAGCTGGTCCTTCGCAGAACGTCGCTCTCATCACTGTCTGTCTGGAAGAAAACTCGGTCTCTCGCAGTTCTCCCGCCTCCTGTACTTTCATATTCAACGAGTCACTTAAATCCTGTGCCAGTCTTCGTGTTGGTCGGCCCCTGCCCCTCATTTCTAGTACCATGTCAGCTGCTATTGGCCCCCCCCCCCCCATCGATCATGACGCTTGATAGGACTGAAATATTTCAGTTTACAAACAAGGTACTGTTTATTAACCATCTTTCTTTATGTTCAGATTTGTAAAATATCAATATTTCTTCTATTCTTTGTCCGTAGTATTCTGAGAGTCTTTCTATATAGCATTTCAGCTTAAAAGCCCCTATTTTTTTTTCTCTAAAAGACTGGAAGATAGTCCACGACTCACATCCTGACGTCGATGCAGGGAAGATGTATGTTCTCCAAATTTTGATTTTGATTTCCTTGTTGGTGCTTAACCATAAACTTTTAAAGCTGTTTGATCTTTGCATTTGATGGCCATTCTCCTTTTGATTTCTGTCTTAACAGTCTCCCCTGCTTTTTATTACAGAACCTGGATCTTCAAAGTGTATGCCATTTTCAAAACTCTCTATCTCTCTCTCCTCTCTCTCTCCTCTCTTTCTCTCTCTTCTCTCTCTCTCTCTCTCTCTCTCTCTCTCTCTCTCTCTCTCTCTCTCTCTCTCTCTCTCTCTCTCTCTCTCTCTCTCTCTCTCTCTCTCTCTCTCTCTCTCTCTCTCTCTCTCTCTCTCTCTTGTCGTACCCCACCAGGATATCACACAAACCCGGTGACACAATGTGGTACCATGCAGATGAGGATCACACGTGGAAAGGTCCCAGAAACCCCTTTCAGCCGTTATGGCCAAATCTATGCCCCGGCTATATTCAGGGCCCCCGGCAAAAGCCAGGTTGTTGCTTCAAATAACACAAAATTGCATCCCATATGGGGACGACTGAGATTGTAGCATTTTCAATTGCTTCATCATTTATTGTTATGTTTGGGGACAGCTAGTTTTGTGTGAACATTAATTTCATTTTATTTAAATTCAAATGATGATGATAATGTTGGATTTATATCTAGATTATTTTTTTTAAATGAAAAACGTTGAGATGATGACAATAAAGACAAGTTTTGTGTGCTTGGTTTGCCGGTTCAGCTTGTTCTGTGTTAGACAAACTAAGGGCGGTGAGGTTAGTGAATGCGTTTAACGATTTCATATTCCAGAAGTACGAGGGTTCCATTCCATGTCTGTGTTGGAAATATATATATATATATATATATATATATATATATATATATATATATATATATATATATATATACACACACGCAGATATCGCTGCCTAGCTGTAAATAACAAGATAACGGGCCAGCTGTCCCTTTTTAAGGACTAGAACAGAGATGGGGAAAGGGCCACAGTCTTAAACCACGGTAAAGGGAATTAATCTTACAATGATTTTTTGTTTATGTTATCATTGGTTTTCGTTCTTACCTACTACTGGGTCTGTTTTCTTTTACAAAATCATTGCAGAAAATCTCCTTCCCAGACCACAAATATAGGCGGAGACTGCTAGCAGCCTAGGCTAGCTAGCAGTAGTCTGAACGTGGTCGAGCTTTTTTTTTTTTTTCAAAAGGACTTGGACTTGGTCTCTCCTTAGTGCACTATTCTTTTAGTATATATTATTTAGAAGAGAGCATCCCAGTACAGTTTAGGAACACCGTTAGTTAGTTCTTTCTCCTGAGCTTAGGCAGGCGCATTGGGTAGAGGTCACCACCGTCCATGTCTGGCCGTTCGTTGCCACCTGTATCAGGTCTTGGATGTTAATTAGGCCCCTGGTTGAGCCTTCCTTGATGATGGTTCTATGCAGGATCTCTGTTGTTCCTCCTCGTTTTCTTTTCCCTTCTAGTGTCCATATGAGGGCTTCCGGTTAAAATTGACGCTAGACATCGGCGCTGTTCGGAGCGGAGGCAAATTTTTTTGCTTCTGCCGGACGGTGGCCGATGCATTTTTGCTCCATTTGTAGACTGGATATAGTTTCGTCGCCCAGCTTCTGAGTTGAATGCATGGCGTGACCCTGTGAGCTGCGGATTGCATTTGGAATGTTTTTTCGACTGTGACCAACGTGGTGAGAATTGTAGATTCAGAAAATGGCGCGA